TTGACGACCCTGTACGCACGTTGAAGACCTGGAAGAGGCTCCTGGCTTTTGGCTTCTGGCTTTGGATCAACTCAGCTCTGTCCATTGCTGACGCTTGGGGAGTGCATCAGCAGCTGGAAGATCTTCCTCTCTGTCTCTCCTCCTCCTCTCTGTATATCCTTTTTTTTTTTTTTTGAAAGGTAGAGCTACAGAGAGCGTGCTTTGTCTGTTGGTTTACTCCCCAGTGGCTGCAGCAGTTAGGCTGTGCCAGGCTGAAGCAAGGAGCTTCAGATCTCTCCTGGGTTTGCAGGGACCCAAGCATTTGGGCTGTCTTCCACTGCTTTCCCAGGCAGTTAGCAGGGAGCTGGGTTGGAAGTGGAGCAGCCAGGGCACAGGCCAGTGCCAGCACCTTAGGCAGTGGTCCAGCCACTGTGCCGTAGCACTGGCCCCACAATTCTTGAAAGGTCCGTGTCCGTGATACAAACCTAGTGTTGTGACATTGGGCACTGGTTCATACCCTGCTGCTCCACTTCCTGTCCTGCTCTCTCAGTTCACCTGGGAAAGCGGGGAAGATGGCCTGAGTGACTGGGTCTCCGTTAGCCTCTTAGGAGACCTAGAGTAAGCTCCTGGCTCCTGGTTTCATCCTGGTCCTGCCCTGGCTACCGCAGCCATCGGGGAGTGACTGAGTGGATAAAAGATCTTTCTCTCCCTCTATTTCTGCGATTCTGACTTTCAAATAAGTAAAAAAGTCCAGTGTAGTTTACCATTACCCCCTTATTAATTTCATATGCAAATTTACTTTGCTTTGAAAAGATCTTATTTCAGAATATGAGCAGAGGGAAATATGTCAAAAGATGTATATCACTACTAATAAATGTAAACTAAACAAGGTAAAATTTTTTTAGATTTATTTACTTTTATTGGAAAGGCAAATATACAAAGAGGAGGAGAAACAGAGAAGAATATCTTCCGTCTGATGGTTCACTCACCAAGTGACTGCAACACCTGGAGCTGAGCTGACCCAAAGCAGGAGCCAGGAGCCTCTTCCGGGTCTCCCATGCAGGTGCAGGGTCCCAGAGCTTTGGGCCGTCCTCGACTGCTTTCCCAGGCCACAGGCAGGGAGCTGGATGGGAAGCGGGGCCACTGGGATTAGAACTGGTGACCATATGGGATCCTGGCTCGTTCAAGGCGAGGACTTTAACCACTACACTATTAGGCCTGGCCTGTAAAAATTTTTTTGAAAGGAAAGTTCTAGAAAGATGACACAGAACAGGCATTTGGATCGGTATATAAAACGCTGCGTAAGATTCTCTTGTTCCAGTTTCTTATTCCAGCTTCCTGCTAATGGCAGTTGGAAGGCACCAGATACTGGCTTTGGCACTTGGGTTCTTACTGGCCATGTGGGACAGCCAGATGCAGTGCCTGGCGCCAGCCTCGCCCAGCCCCAACTGCGGTAGGCATCTGGGGAGTCTTTCTCTACTTTTCAGATGTTTAAAAGATAAATGAAAACTAAGTTTAAAATGGCACACATGCCCATCCCTTTTCACTTTTTCCTTAAAAATCTTTAACATTTGGTGCAGTAATTTGACTGCAGTAAATTGTAAAAGAAGCACATTATGGAAAAAGTTGCAGTACATGTGTGTAGAACTATCCTAACGATCTCGGTGTTGAAGCCTGGAAGGTTTCTGTGGAAACTCCACATGGAGGTTAGAGTAGGTGTGTTCGGGACGGGAGGGGCTTAGGTGGGCCGTTGGCTGTGCTGTATTGACATGCAGAGTGGAGTTAGGTTACAGGGCTGGGGACAGACGCTGGACCCCTGAGCACCCGCCTTTGTTCCCTGACTCCTGTACCCCCTGCTTTGTCCATATCATGCTCCTTTGTTTGTTTTCTTTAAAGTACTCATTTAAAAGGTGCTGTGACAGAGGAAGAGACAGAAAGAGAGATCTTGCATTCACTGTTTCACTGCCTAAATGGTGGTAACAGGCAGACTGAAGCTACATTCCACCGAGGTCTGCGCTCTGGTGTCTGGGCTGACGTGCTGGAGCCTTCATGGCTCCTTGGTGGAATTGTGAATTGGAAGGGTAGAGCAGCTGGGATTTGAACCAGCGTATCTGACACGGGATGTGAGTGTCCTAAGAGGACCACAGTGTCCACTTGGCTCTCCATTCTAAAATAGATGTTTAGGGCCCAGCGCGGTGGTGCAAGTGGTTAAGTCCTCGCCTTGCACGCCCGAGATCCCGTATGGGCGCTGGTTCTATCCCAGCAGCCCCGCTTCCCTTCCAGCTCCCTGCCTGTGGCCCGGGAAAGCAGTCGAGGACGGCCCAAAGCTTTGGGACCCTGCACCCGTGCAGGAGACCCGGAAGAAGCTCCTGGCTTCGGATCGGCATAGTATCGGCCATTGCGCTCACTTGGGGAGTGAGTCATCGGACGGAAGATCTTCCTCTCTGTCTCTCCTCTCTGTATATCTGCCTTTCCAATAAAATAATAATAATAATAATAATAATAATAAATTTTTAAAATAGATGTTTAAGGAGTTCTTTCTAAAATGTCTAGGTTTCTATCATAATTATAGGTTTTATGTAATTAGCAAAAAACCTTATAGAAGTTTCAGGCTTTCTGTAGTCTTGCTCTCCATTGTAGTAAACCTGTTAATTGACCTTAACCTGAAAATGTGACATGGAAAATTATGGAAGTAACTGACACATTTTCAATTACATGTGGTTTGAGAAGGGAGATAAAGCTGTGGGCCGTTTGCTAGGGGAGGGGAGTCACGCCGTCATCCAGCACGTCTGTACTTCCTGCCCCTGGTCACAGCGGCCATCTCGGTTATCAGGCTGACTGTCACAGCGCTTGTGTTCACGTAGCCCCTTATTACTAGTCAGCCCCAAAGCACGGGGTAATGGTCGTGGCGGCTCAGTGTGGATGTACCAGAGAGAAGCAGCAGAGTTCTTCCTCTCAGTGTCAGCTGCAAGAAGGAGGTGAGTACAGTCAAGTCACCATTGAGAAAGCACAGTGACGTAGTCTTCCGTACAGTATATGACCTTGGTGCTCTCTGTGCCTCATTGATAAGTTTTGTCTTAGCTATATCTGTATACGAAAAAACACAGTATACGGAATACCACGTAGTGTTGTGTGTGTGTGTGCGCATGTGCGCTGTCAGACATCCACAGGGATCTAACTCCCGTGGATAAACAGGACGACTGCTATCGTCCCAGCACTTACGCAGCACTTGTTATGTGTCATTTCATGTTTGCAGCAGCCGTCTCAGGTACTGTCATTGTCATTTACAGATGAGGAAACTTGGACACTGACAGACTGAGTAACTTCCTAGTCACACAGCTAATAAATAGTAGAGGTGGGATATGAACCCAGCTTCTTTCTGCCTTAGATAGTACCTCAGCTGCTCTGTCTGCGGCAGTGTCCGACAAATAGCAAGTTTCCTGGACTACAGTGTCTGCATGCACGTGGAGGTTTGCTGGGCTCCTGAAGATGCAAGCTGCCATGTAGAAACGTTGGTCCTGGACCGCAGTCATTTGTAGCATTTTCAGTTGTACAGTGGTGTGTTGTCTGTCTGCACAGTGTGGCATACAGTGTAACACCGCCGAGCGTTCTCACCAGAGTGGCCCCTGGCACACAGCGGTGGTGTCTCAAGTAGATGGCACGGTGGGGGACAGAGTTCAGCTCTCGGAGCCATCACTGCTGTCCCCGCTGTCCCCAGGTTCCGTGTTAGTAGGTTGTTGGAGCCAAGAAGTGAACCCAACTATCCCAGAATGTGATGTGGGCATCCTAAGCAGCTGTAGCTCAAACATTCACACCTCCTGCAGATTGCTTCATGGTAACTATTTTCACACTGTCCTGATTTCCGTATAAATCTTAACATCTTACCAACTTTTTAAAGGCGGAGGGGAGGATGTTGGCACATTGGGAACTGATTGAAGAGTTGACTGGCAGTTCGTGAATGTGGATTCTAATGTGTAATATAATATGCATCTTTGAGTCATATGTCATTTCCCTTATTTTAGCCATTTTACCTCCTACCAGATTCCTCTGAAATTCATTGAAAAAACAGCAACTTGTAACCATCTGTTACAAAGTGAAAAAAGTGTAAGCCAGTTAAAATTTGAGATTTGGAAATCAGTGTCATTAAATTTACCATATGTATCTCGTAAATCTTATGACACTCAAAATAAATGAGAGCTACTGTATAATACAAAGCTTAATTTCTTCCAGTTTTAGTTAAACAACAATAAAAAATTAAAGTTGTGGTGTTGTATTTTTGAACTCTAGTGGATCATTTGAAATAATTTTGCTTATTATGTTGTTGGAATTAACAGCGGTCTAGTAGGTTTTGCTGTTAGGATTTTTTTCTGTTTTTGAAAGGCAAAGCTGCAGAGACAGAAATCATCCATCTGCTGGTTCATTCTCCGATGACTGCAGAGGCTGCAGCTGACCCAGAGCCAGGCGCTTCTTCCAGGTGTCCCATGTGGGTGCCGGGACTAGGCCAGTGCCCAGATGAGATGCCGGTGCCGCGGACTGAAGCTTTATCCATTACGCTACAGTGGTGGCCTCTACTTTAAGTGTCATGCGGCAGGCATTTGTCCTACAGGTTAATATACCTGTCCATAGACCGGTGCCCTGTATCGGAGTACTCAGATTTAACACCTGCCTCTGATTCCTGACCTCCACTTCCTCCTCGTGTAGACCCTGAGAGGCTGTTGTGGACGGCTCAAGTAATTGGGAGGCACGGAGAGCTTTTGGAGCATGAAGCAGCAGGTGGGAACTCGCCTTGCTTCCGAGTCTCGCTCATCCGTGTACTTTCTCTCTGCTTGTGAAGTAAATGGATTAAGAGAATAAATGTCAAACCATAATACTTGGCATGGAGAAATTCACAACCACACAGTCACAGAAAGAAAAAAAATTACAAATTCTTATCATGAAGTATACCAGCCAATAAGTTGAAGTGTAAAGTGTTTACATTTTCCTTGATTCTAATAAAATAATGTATTTTCTTGTCTTAACAGATATTAGACACCCTGAAGAACTTTCTCTGTTAAAAAAACCCAGAGATCCAACGAAGAAGAAAAAGAAAAAACTAGATGAACAGTCTGAAGATGAGGCGCTTGAGTTAGAGGGGCCACTTATCACTCCCGGGTCAGGTGAGAGGCGAGGGGGTCGAAGTGGGCTGTAGGTTGGGTGTGGCGTTTAGAGGAAGGTGTGCGGAACGAGCAGGTCAGTGTGCAGGTCAGGTTATAAAACATGAAGAAACAGCGCCTTCCACGTCTTTCCCCTGCTAATGAACTCGCCATCATGGTCATTCAGTTTCTGACATATGTAAATATCAAGTGTTCAATTAGTAAGCGGTAGTATGGTTCTTTTGTTGTTCAGATTGTCAGAAGTATTGGACTCAGTTCTTTGTGAAAATAAAGTTAGAAATTCTTCAGCTATTTAAGTAGTAAAAACCAACTATGACTTACTTAATGTATTACTGTAAAACCCCTTATTCAAATTAATGTTTTGCAAGTACTGGTCTCTTTGTCCCTTTTACTTTTTTCCTGTGCTCTTTTGAGAAATTTTATGTTTCCTATCATTTTTCCAACCTGAATACTTCATTCTGTTGAATTAGGTGTTCTATCATAAGTCATCAGACTTAGGAGAAAAATTATGCCACAGTAAAATTCAGAGTCTGGGGGCATAAACCTCGTAACTTTTCTGTAGCTGTCATGCACTTTATTTTCAGATGCAGAAATAATATGTTCCTTACTGTTCAGTAGTGTTTGCAGGTTAATTGAAAAATATGTTCACTGCACTCATATGTAAGAGGTATAATATATAAACAAATGTTGACGGTGTCTTAGAAATTAAAAATAAAATTATTCTAAATAGAGTATGTATATTCAGTTTTACGGGTTAGAAAACTGGGTTTATAAATTAAGCTGTTAATTTCCAGTGACTTGAATTTGAATGGCATACAAAAGTAGTCTAGGCAGAAAAATGATGCAGCAAACATCCTGGCCAAAGTACCAGACGTGTGAGCTGGTGGCTTAGGCCACTTCCTGAGGGAGAGACCACAGGTAATCCAGGAGGGCACTGTGGAGAGTTACTGGCAGGTTAAGGAATTTCTTCCTTTTCTGTTTTATAAAGATCCATTTATTTATTTCAAAGGCAGAATTACAGAGGTTGGGAGTGGGAGGAGAAGGAGAGATCTTCCATGTGCTGGTTCACTCCCCAGATGGCAACAGCTGCTGGGACTGGGCCAGGCTGAAGCCAGGAGCTTCGTCTGGGTCTCTCGTGTGGGAAGCAGCAGCCCCAGCACTGGTGCTCCCTCCTTTTGCTTTCCCAGGTACATTAGCAGGGAGCTGGATTGATGCTTAACTGGGTGCTTATATGGGCTGCCATTATCACAGGCGCAGTTTATCCCAGGGTACCACAACCCCGAGCCCGGGTTAAGGAGTTTTCTCTAGTGCATTATAGAGCCATTGGTTTCTAACTGTGTTACAAAATGAATGAATCTATATTTAGAGAGAACATCCAGTTTCCTTCCAGTCAGTAAGTATGGAGGAAGGAGTGTGGGAAGGTATTGTAAGGTAGTAGAGGCCCACAGAGAGGGGGCGCTAACAGAATGAAGGATGGTATCTGTGTGATACTGTGACGTAAGAAACATATTTTGGTCTTCCTCTAGTGTTCCTGGCAGAGCTCCTAAAATCCTTGTAATTTCCTAAGTGGGAGAGCCATGAAGAACATCTTTTGTAACACAGCACAAGCCTCTTTCAGCCACAGCTGAATAGACATTGATGAGGTAACTCTTGGGAAGTCCATCAGGTGGGAGCTGGCTGCCGGAGGCCAGCTTGTGCTTAGAGGATAGGAAGGGGAAGCCTTCATCTCCCCCTCTACCCACTTCCCAAGCGCCACGGTGGAGAGGACAGGGGCTGCAAGATGGACAGTTGTTCAGTCAGGCCTGGGTAATGGAGCCTCCTTAGAAACCCAGAAGCTCTGGGTTCAGAGAACTTCAAGTTGGTGAACACGAGAGGTGCTTTGAGGAGACCATCCCTGGTGGGGCCTGGAAGTGCCATGCCCTCCCACACAGCCTGCCCCATGCACTGCCGCTGCCATGAACTGTGTCCTTTACAATAAATCCAGAATCTGATCAGTAAACTTCTGGCTTCTGTGAGGCATGGTAACCAGCTCTTCTTCAAGGGAATGTTTCACAGGTGATCCCTTCTGATCTGGAGGCTCGTTTGACTGACCTATGAGAGGACCCCAGTCCTCGGATTTGCACTGACTTCGGGTAGGTAGGGCAGCTTTGAGGAACATGACGTACGACGTTCTGGTTGGTCTCAGTGGGAGAATTGGTTGGTGCAGGAAAACCCCCCTCGCTTGGTGTCAAACATGAAATACTGACTGCAAAGTAGTAATGGAGAAGGAACAAGTTTTCATACAGATTATCATTAAAACGAGATTTTGTGTGTTTTGTTTCCTATTTAAGAGGCAGAAAGACAGATACTCAGAGAGCTCCTATTTGCTGGGTCATTCCACAAATGCTTCCTGCAGTCACAGGGCAAGGCCAGCAGCTGGAAAGTCAGTCTAGGTCCCACTCGGGTGGTAGGGGCCTAGCTCCTAGAACCATCGCTGCCCACCCCCATGGCGTGCATCAGCAGGATGCCGAGTCTGTCCTCGGCTGCTGCTAGTCCGCATGGAAGTCCATGCGTTCTTATGGGACGGACGGTTTCAGTGTTGCTGAAATCAGTCGGGGTTGATCTTGGAATTGCAAAGAGATTGTCCAATGCTGTTAGGAAAGGGGGTTTGGAGATACAGGAGGATGAAATAAGATGAGGTGAAGTCATAAAACTTTGAGCCTAAGTCACAACATAAAGCGTTGCTCATTTATGTGTTTGTTCATTTATTTAAAAGCCAAAGAGAGAGAGATCTTGAAGCTCCTGTTTTCTTCCCAAACACCCAGTACAGCCAGGGCTGGGCCAGGTGAAAGTCTGCAACTAGGGATACCTTGTTGGTGGCAGGAGCCCCAGTACTGGGATCCTCATCTCCTGCCTGCCAGGTAGACTGGTAGGAAGCAGATTGGAAGTGGAAGAGGTGGGACTTGACTCCAGTGGCTGAATTGTAATGGGGTATCCTAAGCAGCAACTTAACCTGCTCTGCACAACTCCTGCCCTTGGGGGTTATGTTGTTTTCATTAAGATGTGACCATTTACTTAGACACGCACCTGTATGGCCACTCAGAGCATTAGCGTGAGATCAGCATCCCAGAACACTCAGAGAGGTTTTTATCCAGTGCATAACTCCTTTTTTGATAGCACCACAGATGTTTTTAAAGATTTATTTTTTTATTATTATTATTATTTTAATTGGAAAAGCAGATATACAGAGAGGAGAGACAGAGAGGAAGATCTTCCGTCCCATGATTCACTCCCCAAGTGAGCACAACGGCTGGAGCTATGCTGATCTGAAGCCAGGAGCCTCTTCTGGGTCTCCCACGTGGGTGCAGGGTCCCAAGACTCTGGGCCATCCTCGACTGCTTTCCCGGGCCACAGGCAGGGAGCTGGAAGGGAAGCGGGGCTGCCGGGATAGAATCGGCACCCATATGGGATCCAGGGCGTGTAAGGCGAGGACTTTAACCACTGCGCCACTGCGCCCGGCTCCACAGATGTTTTTAAAGATTATTTATTTGAGAGGTAGAGATACAAAAAGAGAGAAATCTTCAGCTGCTTCATTCCCTAGATGGTTGCAGCAGCTAGAGCTGGGCTGATCCGAAAGCAGGAGCTTCCTCCGGGTCTCCTCACAGCTGCAGGCACCCAAGGACTTGGGCCGTCATTCACTGCTTTCCCAGAGCCGCTGCTGGGGAGTTAGAAGGGATGGCAGGTGGTTTCCGGAGGGCAGGTCTAACCCCTGGCCCACAGCCCTGGCCAAGGCACCGTCTGGTGGATGCTGTTCTTAGTTACTTAAACCATGTCACATACTTGTTAATTTCTACTTGTGTTTTCAAAGTTGAGTGGAAATTTAAAGTCTAAACAATCTGAAAGCAGTCTAAAATGGAGACTTTGTCTTCAACCACTTAAACAAGGTGTTGTAGCTGGTCATCTGTCAAGTTCCTAGGACATTTACCTTTAGTTATCATAAGATTTATATCTTTGTGTTTTCATGAATACCTCCCAGCTTTGCAGGTCAAACTGACATGAATAGTTGGGTTTCCAGTCATTTGCAAGCAGCAAATTTCAAGGTGTTATGGCAGATTTTACAATGGAATTGCTGAAGGGATCAGATAACACAGGTCCGTCTGCTGAATGGTTGAGCGAAGCCTTGCGCTCCCTTTGGTGCGCACAGATGGTGGGTACATTAGGACTGAGATTTCAAAGACAGCTTGGCCTGTACCCTGTTTGACTTTATCCATTATTGTCAGAAGCTAACCAGCCCTTACTGTAGGCCCTAGCTTGCACAGTCTACCAAGCAGCAGTGTCACCACTTGGTTGTCCTCCAGGCACCCTCAGGCTTGCCTCCCCAGGGCCTGTGGCCCCTGCAGTTGTACCTTCTCACTGTCCACTTCCTCAGCTGTCCCCCTGAGGCTTCACCCTGGGACATCCTTGAAGCCCTAAGGGAAACTTCCAGGCCTTTTCAGAGTAAAAGGTTGCTTTTACAAACAACCGTGTACATCAAGGCTCTTCTGGTCAAAAACATGTATAATACTGTATCTAATCTTCACAACAATTCTGAAAAATAGGTAGGAAGAGAAGAGAACCCAGAGCAGCTGGGATCAGAGCCCTGCTATGCGGCAGAGCTGACCTCTGAGCCACATCAGTCCTGCTCAAAGCTGGAGGTCTGACCACTGCACCATGCTGCCTTTCTCCTTCACCCCTACTGTTGGAATACCTCATAGACCATTGATTTCAAGAAAGAAGTTTTCTTTAAAAAAAAAAAAAAGATTATTGTAATTTTATTTATTTGAAAGAGTTACAGAGGAAGAGAGGCAGAGAGAGATTCTATCTACTAGTTCGCTCCCCGGATGGCCACAATAGCCAGGACTGAGCCAGGCCAAAGCCCAAAGCCTGGAGCTGCTTTGGATCTCCTAGGAGGGTGCAGAGCCCAAGCACTGCTTTGCTGGACAAGGCCATTAGACCTGCAGAAATCCCCAGCATTAGCACTCTGTGCCCAGGTCCTTGTTTCTATCATTGCATGGGGGCAGTGTTAGGAAAGGAGAGGGATTCCTAAGAAAAGCCATTTTGTTTCATTGTCCTTACCATTTAACAGCTTCATACCATTACACAAATTCTTTTTAAGACCATGAGACAAACTATAATTTAACAGAACTTATGGCTGGCTATGCTCTTAATGACATTGTTCTTTTTTTTAGATGTCCTTAAAATTCTTTTTAGTTTCTGTAGCTTAGATGAAGGAAGTGTATTCATTGGTTGATTGGGCAAACCTTTATGTATTGTCTGCTATCTGCCTGGCCGTAAAATAATGAGGGAGGCAGAAGGTAAAGTCTGTTTCAGGATTGCAATTGTTGCATGTATTTTGTTAGCCAGTTTATAAGGCAAAATGTTACTTACCCTTTTATATTAATGCTTCGTAAGAACGTTGAAACCAATCTCAGCATTCATTGAAAAGCATTAACATAAAAAAGTGTTCTTTCATTTTATGTTGGATTTACTCATTACTTTGAGCCAGGTTAGGACGTGGATTCCAGAGGGTGACATTTGTCACTGTGTGCTAGATTAGAGCACAACTTCATTCTTATAAATTGGACAGAAACTTGTTTTATTTTAGATTATACCTCTGAAGGTCTAAATGTCTCTTAAGCATACCTAACATTTGTTTCTCCTAATTTTTCTAATTTACAATTAGGAAAAATCTTTGCCATTGTTCCTTTTTTCTTTTCATTTCCATTCTTTTGTTTCTGTCCTCTTGTTGTCTCTCCTTTACCTTCTGATCCTTTCTCTCCTTTCCTGTAGGCACCGATGTTCTTTACATTGGCCCGCTGAAAGGTGAGCCTTCCCACAGTCAACAAGTAGAGTGTTAGTCTGTCTGCCTAAGCTGTATCCTTCCTAATTCCTTTGAACTGATTTTTCCCCTAAGATTTCTGCCAACTTAATTACATTCCCTTTGTAATTATATGTCCTAATAATAGTATACAAATAAAGTTCACCTCACGTATGTTGAAGACAGGTAAAATAATCTATTCAGCTTATGTTTCAAAATGAAGCATTGCTTTATATCATAGTATGTGTTACTGAGAACTAAGATTCTATACTTCACACTTAACGTGTTTTTCCTGTTACTAGGAAGTATATATTCGAGCCCAGGACTGTATAGTAAAACAATGACCCCCACATACGATGCCCACGATGGAAGCCCCTTATCGCCAACTTCAGCGTGGTTTGGTGACAGTGCCCTGTCAGAAGGCAACCCTGGCATCCTCGCTGTCAGCCAGCCAATCACTTCTCCAGAAATCTTGGCAAAAATGTTCAAGCCTCAAGCTCTTCTTGATAAAGCCAAAATCAACCAGGGGTATGTGTGACATGGAGATGCAGTTGAAGAACTTTACCCACGTGGAGGCAGAACACTTGAGTAACTGTCTTGCTTTTCCCTTGCTCTTACCGATTTGCCCAGGTGGCTTGATTCTTCTAGATCTCTCATGGAGCAGGATGTGAAGGAAAATGAGGCTTTGCTGCTCCGATTCAAGTATTACAGCTTTTTTGATTTGAATCCAAAGGTACCAAGGACTCATACGGAGTCACTTTTCTTTGTGGTTTTGCTTTCTGTTCATTTTGTAGATTGGCTGTTTGGTAGTTTGAGTAGGGTAAGGAATTGTTTGTGTTAAATCCTAAATCTTTAGGCAAAGGTTGTACTTCCAGTAACTATTATTTTATTAGGTTGGAAACATAACTAAACCTTTTTCCACTTTGCTAAATAAGATAATTATGTTGTTATTTGATTTATATTTTAAAGGTGCTAGTTTGTTAGCTAGCTGTTTAATATAAGCCCTGTATTCAGGTGTACTTTGAAAAAGTTTTCTGGAAAATCACCTTTTCACTTGATTTGATATAACAGAAGATCGTGTATCCAAAGGGGGGAAAATTTTCTTACATGCTTTTAAAATTTTGCTTTGTATTTCTTGCCCATTTTGTAATCAGACATAATTACCTACTTATACTTAGCACCATCTGTGCCACTGTAGTACTTTGCCTTTTTGGTAAGATTTTAACTGTGTTATAAAGACAGTATTTTCTCACTTGGAAATGGCACAGCAATCTGGATCTTTCAGTTCTGTCACCCTGAGGGGGAGGGGTCTCGTACCTGCCTTCTTACCGTTTTTGTGTCTAGATTGTAGTCTAGACTTTACGTATTTATTATCGTTTGTACGTTTCCTTTATGATAATAAGCTTTAATAATAGATAGTCAGGTCACATCAAAGCTACTTACTGGAAGACTAAATCTGCTTTGGGAGTAGTTTTGTTTATGAGGGAAGGAGGTTTTTTTTTTTTTTATAACCATTCTAAGATAGTATTAAGATGTTACTATAGATTTTTATCAATATAATTATATGGATAATCCAATGGCATAAGTAAATCTGCTTTCCACAAGTTTTATATGTGCCTTCTGTTTTAAATACTGAAAATATTTGCCAAGGACAGCAAAGAAAATTGTTTTCCAAAAATAATTAATTTACCCACTGATTGTTTCTTAATGTGGTCAGTTACATTGATGATACAGAAAAGCAGCCCTTACTTTAGTATCTTCAAGTTATATTTATTAAAGCAATTCTGTTTAGTAGTTATTTTTCTGGGAAAATGATATGCCAAATCTTTCTGTTACTCTTTATTTTTAAGATATCCTTTATTTGAGTGACAAGGAGGGCGGGAGGAACAGAGTTTTCATCTGCTGGTTCGCTTCCCAGAGCACAAGATGGCACAGGAGCTTGGGCCCCAGGCAGCCTGCAGCCGTTCCGGGTGAACCAGCATCCCTGCCTTTCAAATAGATACATCTGCAGGAAAAGAAGAAAGTACCTCCGGCACATTTTAATGTCATTTTTAAATGGAAAATTAGATATGGACCTGTGCAGGAATATCCAACCAGATAGGCAAACTTCTCATAGTTAAATGTTTGATAATGATTTAAAAGTCCCAGAAAAAATGTTTAAATTTTCCTGTTGATATTTTAAAATGATGACTAATACTTGTGAGACTTCTTAACATGTAGTTGATGTATTATAAAAGGTTTGATTTGTGTGTGTGTCACTGTTTGTTTTGGGACACAGTACGATGCCATTCGAATCAATCAGCTTTATGAACAGGCCAAATGGGCTATTCTGCTGGAAGAAATTGAATGCACAGAAGAAGAAATGATGATGTTTGCAGCCTTGCAGGTACTTGAAAGGGGAATGGGCTGTTGGGAGAAAGGCTAAGGGGATAATGTTATTATAATGTGGCATAGTGGAGACCAGGTTGTGGCATAGCAGGTAAAGCTGGCAATACAGTGTGCTGCCTTCTCTAATCCCCATTTCACCCCCCTGCTAATGACCTGGGAAAAGCAGTGGAAGGTGGCCCAAGTACTTGGGCCCTTGCTACCCATGTGGAAAACTTCAAAGCAGCTTCTGGCTTTGGCCTGGCCCAGCCCAGGCTATTGCAGCCACATGGGGAGTGAGCCAGTAGACGGAAGATCTCTGTCTGTCTGTCTGTCTGTCTCTCTCTCTCCCTCTCCCTCTCCCTGTCTTTCTGTAACTCTGACAAAGAAATCAATAAAAATTTTAAGTGATACACTAATTCCAGTAACTTTTTGTAGATGTTGATTTTTTTTTTTTTTGCTATGTAGAAAACAGGTAAGAAAACAAAGGAATTTAATTTTGTTTTTTGTCCTGTAGTTAGTGAAATACTTTTGCTTTTCATTATTTTGTAAGAAAAAGTTTTCCTCTGTTCCTAAATGTATTTAAAGCTCAAATTTTCCCTTAAAAATATGTATTAAAAATCATACTTCTGTAATGAATCTTCCTTATACAATATCCTGAATATTTGGCGAGAACTACTCTGAAGAAATGTGTATTGATAAATAACACCTTTTAAATATAAAGTTTGGGGCCCAGCATGATAGTGTAGTAGTTAACGTCCTCGCCTTGCACGCGCCAAGATCCCATATGGGCGCCAGTTCTAATCCCAGCCCTGCTTGCCATCCAGCTCCCTGCTTGTGGCCTGGGAAAGCAGTGGAGGATGGCCCAAAGCCTTGGGACCCTACACCCGTGTGGGAGACCTGGAGGAGCTCCTGGCTCCTGGCTTCGGATTGGCGCAGCACCGGTCGTAGCAATCACTTAGGGAGTGAACCATTGGACGGAAGATCTTCCTCTCTGTCTCTCCTCTGTATATCTGCCTTTCTAATAAAAATAAATATTTAAAAAATAAATAAATATAAAGTTTGAAGCAATCAATCAAATTAAGTGCCCAGTGTTTTTAGAATAATTAAGCACAGAGCTAACATTTCCCTTAGATTAAACCAATTTTTAAAAAAATATATTTATTTTATTGGAAAGGAAGATCAAATTTATAGAGAGGAGGAGCCAGAGAGAAAGAAATGCTGGTTCACTCCCCAAGTGGCCACAACAGCCAGAGCTGAGTCAGTCCGAAGCCAGGCGTTTCTTTTGGCTCTCCCGGAGGGACCCAGGGTCCCAAGGCTTTGGGCCATCCTCGACTGCTTTCCCAGGCCACAAGGAGAGTTGGGTAAGAAGTGGAGTAGCTGGGACACAAACTGGAAGCCATATGGGATCCTGGAGCATACAATGGGAAAATTAGGCAATTACACCATTACATCAGGTCCTATAAAAATATTTAATATATGGCTTATGTGGGTCACCTGCTTCAGCATGATAGTGAGGCTTATTTAAAAATTGTGCTCTCATAGCCAGGAGTCAGGAATTCCATCCTGGTCTCCTCTGTGGATGATAGGGGCCCAAATACTTGGTCCATCAGGTCCCTTCCCAGGGGGAGGTGAATCAAAAGCAAAATAGTGAGGCTGCAGCTGACACTGTGGTGCAGATGCTGATGGCACGGGTGGCAGCTTCACTCACCATGTCACAACACTGGCCCCTCATTCAGCAGAGGGACACCAGTTGTTGGCCTTCGGAGGTTTTCATTAAGTTTCCTGTGAGTAGACCACTATGTGAGGGCATGCTTTGTTGCGCTTCTTACTGCTCTGACGGGTAGCTAATTTAAGATTACAGGGTCTGCTGATCTTTACACAACACAACTTCAAAACTTAGCATCAAGATTTACATGTAGGGGTAGTTATCACTGCTAACAGATATTTTTGTGTACACACACATATGAATGTTCGTGTGTTTTCAAAGAACATCTTTTACCCATGTAGCTGGATGAGGATGGGGTGAAGTGGCACTTTCCTCTTGGTTAGTAGCAGTAAAGTAAGGTAATCCACGTTAGTCGATTGCTACAAAAGATGTCTTGCATATTCTGTTCCGTAGTTTTGGTACCAAGTCTTGTTTAGACATAGGGGAGTGCGTGGAAGACATAAAGGAACTGTCTGCTCATTAGAGCTTCGTGTGGCGCCTGTTCACTTCCTTGGGTCCAAAGTCCCTGATGCTTTTGGGTGAAGATTGACGAGTAGGTTTAGGATGCCGAGTTCAGGTGCCATGCCTGTTCTTTTCCTGTCTTTAACAGTTGCTGGATACCCATCTTCTCAAATTGGGCAATGAAAAGTAATCAGTATAGTGTTAAATATAATGTTATAACAGCCACTTCAATAAAATGTCATTTCTGATTTCAGTATCATATCAATAAGCTGTCAATCATGACATCGGAGAATCATCTGAACAACAGTGACAAAGAAGTTGATGAAGTGGACGCTGCCCTTTCTGACCTGGAGATCACTTTGGAAGGGGGCAAAACATCAGCAATTTTGGTAGGGTGAATCCTTTCAGCCCGAGTTTGTTTGAGTTGATGTTGATCTCGCGGGTTTAGGTCTTCGCAACATCCTTGGCAAGGAAGAGAGACCGTCAGGTGTCGCGTCTCCTCCCCCGACTCCAAGGAGCTTTCAAGGAAGTGTTTTAAAAGCACCGTGTGCTTAGTCTTGGTGCTTCCAACATCACATTGACATAGACCTTCTGATCTCTGTGCGTTATTTTACACCGGGTGGGAAAACTTAATCTCAAGTTATGGCAAAAATCATGTGATCTGCATATCTGAAATAAAATAAGAAGGAAAACTAGATCTCAGGAAAGTTGGTTTATGCTTCATAGCTGTAAAGCTTAGAAGTTACTTATTACTGAAGAAACACTTTTTTCAGTATTACGATTTATAAAATGTGTACATATAGCATATTAAAAGTAATAATTATTCTTGTGGGTTATATAAATACCACTTGGGTCAAAATAAAGTTTTATGCTATTTGAAAATGCCATTGTACCAAGAAGGATGTATAATCCATATGGCTGTGTGATTCTTTTAAGTATTTGAATATGGGTTTTATGTAGTTTTATAAGTTAATTTGTAAGCTGGTTCTTGATATCAGACACCATGTACTAGAAAAAAACTTTAAATTTCAGTTAAGAAAACTAATAACATGATTTCACTCTTTCCCTAGGGTGACATTACTTCCATTCCAGAACTTGCTGACTACATTAAAGTTTTCAAGTAAGTGCACATGTTGGGAGGGAGCTCCCATTTTAGTGGCCAGTCTGTAAAAGGATTTTCCACATAAACACGAAATTACCATGGCAGAAAATAACCATCTTTACCAAACTGAAGTCACAGGGCTCGGGCAGGTGTTTGGCCCAGTAGGTTCAAGTTGCTCCTTGGGCAGCTCCCGTCCCGTGTGAGAATGCCTGCCTCCCAGCCCTAGTCCTGTGCTGTCTCAGCATCTCACTGTTGTACATCCTCGGAGGCAGCAGGTGCTGGCTCGGGGACTGGAGTCCTTGACCCATGACGGGGACCCAGAGTGCATTTCTGGTTCCTGGCTTCGGTGTGGCGCAGCCTTGCCTGTTGAGGGAAGCTAGGGAGGGAACAAGCAGACAAAAGACCTCTGTCTTTCAAGTAAGATGGATATTTACAAAAACCATTGTACTCACTGTTATCTTAGAAACATTGTTCATTAAAAAAAGTGGAAAAGGTTGAAGTGTAGATTGTAGCTGCCGCAGCCTCAGAGCGCAGGGCCGGCCAGGCCGGGCAGTCTGTGAACAGCACACCGCGATGTGTCCTTGTTTACAGCTCCAGTCTGTCGGCTTCTGTTAAGTTTTTCATGAAACATTTTATTTATGGTTCATTTTTATCTTTTTTTAACTACTAGTCCTTCTATATTCCACAAAATGAATCAATAAAATCGGGCATCATGGTAGAGAAGGGGACAAGGAAAGATAATGTGAAATAGGCTTTTTTCCTCCGTGTAAGGTAGCAGCTATTATGAAGTGACCATTTAGCTAACGCCCTTGGACTAGCACAGAGGTTACGTTTCTGAGGTAAGGACAAGTCTGCAGATGCCACATCTACCCTCCTGTCCGCTTCTGCCTTCACATGCCCTCCGCTCCCTGTCACTCCTGGGCTGCTGTGACACACGGAGCAGCAGGCGGATGTCCTCGTCGGAAACCCCTCACCTGCAGTCAGGGCAACAGCACAGGTGTTCCAGACGTAATCCACAGACACATCTGGAAAGGACTCTGAGGAATTCTGGGACTTAGAATCTTGCATTTACTGGTGTGTTACCTTTGTCTGCGTATCCCTCCCGTGTGGTAAGATTAAGGAGAGATGAACTAGCTACCACTTAGAAAGACTGAAATGGAATGGAGGCTCTCCTGTGCGGCTCATGACACGGGGCTTCCCTGAGTGCATGGAGAAGGGGCAGGCATGTGCAGTGCCAGCAACATTGACACAGACTGGCAGGATCTGACTTAATCGCATGCAGGCTTGCCTCAGAGTTGCAACATTGTGAAATTTGACATTGAGAAAAATATTTCACAGTGGTTTTTCTCTTAATTCTGATTTATACATAGGCCAAAAAAACTGACTTTGAAAGGTTACAAGCAATACTGGTGCACCTTCAAAGATACGTCTATTTCTTGCTATAAGAGCAGAGAAGAGTCCAGCGGCACACCTGCTCATCAGATGAACCTCCGAGGTAAGGACAGCTTTGAGGGACCCGTGGACTGTCTGCTGGCCTAACAGTAACGTCCCTTGCTGCGGGATGGTGCCAGTGTGTCAAGCATCCTGCTGAGGTGCTTTTTGAATGTTGTGTTCCTTGGTCTTTTCATAGTTTGAAGTATTCAGATCCACATGGTTATTTTGTTGCGATCTTTGTGTGTAGGGCTGGCTTGAAGTGTGAGAATCTGCTTCCCTTGGTTGTCCAGGAAATTGATGGGATTCTTTTTCTGCTGTTGAAACTCGGGACACTGGCTGCTGTCGCTCCCGTTTGTCCAATCCTGTCTCCCTGTCAGGGACTGTTAGAAGCATCTTGAGACTTTTTCGGTTCTTCCCTCTCTTGCTGGTATCATGCTGCCTTTCCTCACCTTCACTGAAGCAGGCTGGTCCCTCCCAGGGCCTAGAGCCTCTGGCTCTCCTCGTGGCATCCGCTGGCGAGGCTGACGCCCTTGGGGTTTAGACACACTCTGTCCCATCCACAGTGTCTGTTCCTATGTGCGTTCTTTGCTCTGCCCGCAGCATGGCTTGGGACGGCCTCACTCCTGTGGGTCTCCTCTTCCCAGGGCTGCTGTTGGAGGGCACAGCTGTCGGCTTTGACTTTATTCAGGCCTGTGGGGCTAGAGCGTTAGCTCCTGTGGGGGTGGCTTCTGTGGGTTCTTCCCAGTGCGTTTCCCTCTGTCCTCTGGCAGCTCCCGCTTCCCGCGGCAGGGCAGTTGCTGTCAGGTCTGGTTCTGCTCCCCTCGGCGCTGTTATCACTGCGGTCACCAGGATTGCAGTTAGGAAGTGGTGACTCCTAAGAACCACTCTGCTGTGGCGCCCACAGCGCTCCTGTGTGCCCGTCACTTGGTACACTTGCACAGGTTGTAGCAGATTGGCTGCTCTGGTCCATTCCGCACACTTCAGTTCTGTCTTCCTTACAGTAAAGGCTAACAGTAAAGTCCATTTTCCAGGTTTCCTTCTGATGAGATTCCAATAGCAGTCAGATGCACTTGTATGAAACCTGAACTATGAGCCGAGTTGGGGAGTTGGAGGGAGAATGTAGAGGAATGAGGTGGGTTCGTTCCTGTGATTATTCCTGGCGTCCTAGTTCCTTTGTCCCCTCTGTGGATTTTGTAGGTAGCTAGCTACTAGGGCACTTGGAAAGTTTGTGTAAAATGGAGTGAAGAGATAAGTTTACTTTGGTGTAAAGCAGGTTGGGAAGTCCATGTGTGTAATACGCAGAACAATCATTAGTAACATTCACACTAGTACAAAAGCATCAAAGAAAATGTTCTGCAAGTCATTCTGTGAGAATGACTCCTCCAAGACAACACTGGTACTTTGGCTGGTCTGAGGTTTGAATTTTGTTGAGTCCATTGTCCACTAGACACTTCAACCAAGTGCCCAAATGTGTGCCATACTACATGAATTCGGCCTCGGGGTCGTGTGAGCCGCTGCTTTGTACTTGGACACCTCTTCAAAACCACAAAACCTCATTCTGGGTAGAGCGGGTTCCCGTTTCCTTATGCCGGAGTTCTGTAATTTGCCCGACACTCTCAATTAGGCTCACTGTCTTCCTTTGCCTGGCCACGAGTTTCACTTCTGGGTCTTGACCATTATTTGTTACTCTGAGAGTCTGCTGGAGCTTCCTTCTTGTGTCCCTTTTGAGCTGCCCACGAGCTCCTCAGAGGACCCACTCTTGACTGAGACCCTGTCCAAGGTCTCCCAGCCCTGTGCTGGCTCTGCCTGTTACGTTGTTGGTTTCTCCACTGTAACTAAAAAGCCAAGTCCTGGGGAGGGAGCAATGGTGTAGTAAGCTGTCTGCTTTCTCATCATCTCCCAGGCCTCTCGCAGTGCACCAGTGCCACGGTGCTAAGAATCCCGTGTGGATTCCACTCTGCTGCTGAGCAAACCCTGTGATTCTGGAAAGCTGGCCTTCCCCTAGAAGTGAATGGTAAACTCTAAGGCCCCATGCAGACTGAAAATGCAAAGTGCTCAAAATCCATTTAGCTGACTATAATAAATTAATATGAATCCTGCGTCGCAAACCATGCTAGGTCCCAGTTGACAGTGCTCTCCCTCCCCTGTGAAACTGAGAGCATGCAGGGGTGAAGTTCTGAGGGCGGAGGGTTTTTTTCACCTGCACTGAGGCGAGCGAAACTGCTTAGAGCACCGTGATGTGCAAGTTCAGATCCAAGGGAAATTGAGATATGCAGAAGGAAGGAAGGAGACAGTGAGAGGGCTTGCCCTCCGCTGGGGCCCGGGCTGTGTGGACAGACCCTGGGAGGGGGCATGGAGACCCCGGGAGGGCCAGTGAAGGCGACTCCCACTAACACAATGGGAAGGTAAGTTAGTGAGCCGGGAACAGTGAAAACCACTGAGAGATTGTGAACACAAGAGTGATGGGGTCCACGATTGTCCTGCTGTGATATACAGAGGAGTTCTTCTGGAGATAACGGTGATCGTGACAATGGCAGTGAAATGGAGAAGTGTAAAGAGGGGAAATTCAGTCAGTAGGGCTTTCAGTCCACGGGCTCGGTGCTGGAGTTGGAGGAGCCCCGGGAGGGAGACATGCTGCCGCCTGGTGCAGTTGGCTCGAGAATGCCAAACTGAGATCGGAATGCTGAAGAGCCAGACGATGAGCTGAAGTTTGAGCCATGTTTGGTTTGAGGCACCTGAGGGAGAAGTGTCTGGAGAAGATCTGGGCTGTTGGAGCAGGAGAGACCCATGCTGCAGGTACTGGTCAGTCGGCAGTTCGCACGAGTGGTGAGGCAGCCGCTGGAAGGCCTGTGTCAGGAGCAGGACGCGCACAGCGCTCAGGGCCGACGGGCTGGGAGAGGAATCCAGAGCGCACAGCCCTGGGTAGGTGATGGAGTGAGGGTGCATGGGTGCTCAGGGAAGGCTGTATCGGGGGGCTGGCATGCACAGTAGGCTAACACACCACTGGTGATGCTGGCATTGTGCATCGCAGTGCAGGTCCTGGCTGCTCTGCTTCCTGTCCAGCTTCCTGCTCATCTGTCTGGTAAGGCAGCAAAAACTGACCTAAGAACTAGGACCTGGGCTTCACGGTGGAGACGCACATGGAGTCCCTGGCATCTGGCTTTGGGCTGGCCTGGACCATTTGGAGGGTGAACCAGCAGAGGGAGAATCCCCCACCTCACCCCATACACACGCCCTTAGGCTGTCCTTCGAATAATCTTTTTTAGAATTGTTGTTTCAAAAAGAGCAGAGTGGCCTCTGTCCGTGCCATCTGAAAGGACAGTTGCGCCTCTGTGGTTTGTGGCACGTGAGGGGAGGCTGTGACCGTGCTCAGAGCAGGTCCGGTGGGGCTGGCTGCGTTGACATCATGCTGCTCGCAGGCTCTGAGGTCCGTGGGCGCTGGCGAGTCAAGCCCAGCCTGTAGAGCTAGCGGTGCCCAGCTCCTCTCAACGGGTGGAGGAGGGAGGTGGTACAGATGGTGCCCAGGCAGGACCAGAGCCTGAACTTCAGGAAGGCGAGCGAGCATTATGCTTTCCTGGGCCTCTTGAGTGAAGCAGAGCCTGTAAAGGCTGCTCTGAAGGACAAGGAAATGTCTGACAGATTACAGTGGTTGTGATAAAATCTGGGGTGACTGATGTGCGGATAGCAGTCTACAGTGGGAGCTTCACGAAGCAGCACGCAGAGGGAGGAGGGGGAGGGGCTGCTCCAGGAGAGAAGACGGCCGTGCTGCAAGAGGAGCGGGCACAGCGGACAATGAGAAAGGACGGACACGGCCCTGGGAGTGGTGACGTGGGACCAGTGAGGCACTGCGGCCTCGGTGAGGGCAAAGGGCCCAAGTAGACCCAGCCATTGAAATGAACACACTCGGGAGCAGAGGCACGTTCGGCTGACTATTCCTAAAGCGCTAAAACCATGGCTTATTGATTGGGGACTTGACTACAACGAGCAGATGACAAACACACATTAATGGCGACACCGAGGGGGAGGGGTGGCACGTGTGATGCTGGGCACTCAGTTGCTCTATAGACTCGAGGACCACATTGCTGCCAGCCTCCGTCACCTTGGCACAGGCCTGTGGAGTACCACGATTTCTTCAAGAACCTGGCACGTGTGTTCAGTGCCAGCACTGAGGCAGCACCCCTGAGTGCCCCAGGAGAGCCATGTGCCAAGCCTGCTGCCCAGGCCTGCCTGCTCGCTCCCGCGGGATCAGTTGGTCTCTGTAAGCACATTTTTGTTCTTAGTGCTTCTCTTGTATAAATGATGCACTTTGAAGATGCTAATGTGTGACAGAATTGATGTTTGTTTTCTGGTTGATTTTAAACAGAAAATGAAAGAGGTTGCAGCCTCTGGCTTTTCTGTTTTGTTTTGTTTTTTTCATTTCGCAGTTAACTCCCAGCGGGCTCTGCGATGGACAGCCAGGCCCGTGACTGCTCCTGGCTCTGGGGTCCCTTTGGCACGATGCACCTTCATACTTGGTGCGTTTGTTGGTGCTCGGAGCCGACGCCATCCTTGCCGGCTTCTCTGTTCCCAGACGGGCGGTCTTTGCTCCAGCTGAGAATGGCCCTGGTTTTGGTTGTTGGGTTTGTGTCTGGTGCACGTTGTAACAAGAGGCACAGTGTGTTACGTAGCTGCAGTTTTCTGGAAAAGATATTTTAGGAATTTTCTCACATGAATTTTTCCTTCAAGATCATTCAAAAAACAAACAAAAATACCACCTCCAGTAGCTTGCAGTTGCTTTCTGAGTATGGAAGCCAAAGTTTAATATTTAGAAGCAAACGGAAACAGGTTTTGAGATGAACTGTTACAAGGGAGAAGAGGGCTCTGCAGTAGGCAGCGGTGTAAAGTTGGAGATTGAGAATGCGGTGCTGCTGAGAAGCCTCTCGGGTAGGCGGCTCCTGCCCACATCCTCCCTGTCCAAGGCCTTCAGTGGAGAGGGCTTTCATCTCCTGATGGACCCGAGCTGAAGCTGACTTCTGCCAGGGGACAGTATTCTAGGCAGTCTGAGAAAAAACTGAAATAGACAGTGGTTGAAAATGTGTGAGGAAGGATTGGATTGCCTTCGTGAGGGGCCAGCTCAGGGTCAGTTTGAGTTTCTGCTGACACCTGTCTGCTCAGGGCTTGTTTTTGTTTATATTTAAGTTAGTTTCTTGCCGCCCACCGGCCCTCTGAGCAGTCTTGAGTATTAGGAAGTAGAAGCTGTGGGTGGTTGCGCCAGTTAAGGTCTGGCAGGGTGGCTGTGATGCAGAGAAGGCGAGCTGGAGGCGCTGTGTGGTCAGTGGATCCGTGCTGCCTTGCAAAGCGGGGAGGTGAAGACCTGCTGTGCCGGGGAGCTGGCGGGTGGAGGTGCTGCAGAAGAGCTTGCCAAGGATGGGCATTTGACAGAGCCCTACCAGACAGCACATCCCGTGTCGGGGTGCCTGGCTACCAGTCCTGATTTCAGCTTCCTGTTCATGGGTGCCCCAAGAGACAGTGCAGGGAAGAGGACTCAGGCCGTGGGCTCCCTGTCCTCTGGGCGGGCGGGATGGGTTTGCCCCGCCCCGCTGTTGGGAGGCAGTTGGGAAGTGGGCCAGCAGATGGAGGATCTTGCTCTCTGCCTTTCATGTGTATGAAGTTTGACTGTTTAAGAGAGGAGGAGAGACAGATCTTCCATCCGATGATTCACTCCCCAAATGGCCGCAACGCCTGAAGCTGAGCCAATCCGAAGTCAGGATCCAGGACCTTCTTCTGGGTCTCCCATGCAGTTGCAGCATCCCAAGGCACTGGACCGACCTTCATTGCTTTCCCAGGCCACCTGCAGGGAGCTGGATGGGAAGCAGTGCTGCCAGGATTAGAACCAGCACATGTATGGGATCCCGGTGTGTGTAGGGGGAGGACTTTAGGTGCTAGGCTACTGTGCCGGGCCCAGTGTTTGACTTTTTTAATTCAAAAAGATTTAGGATGGTCAGGATTAGGGTTAGGATTAGGGTTAGGAGGGTCTGTTAGCAGTCGGTAGATGGAAATTACAGAACTGAGTAACTGGGTTGCCATGGCGGCAGGTAGCTGGGCTGGCACAGGATGAGTGTTAGCTCAGGTGGCGCCCGGCCAGTGCCTTTGTACCCACACTGGCTCCTGCGTCACCACTCACTGATTTCTCAGGAGTTTGCAGAGGCCTGGTTGGTGCAGAATTACTCTGGACCGTCTTGAAGCATTAATGATACATTTGCCGAGAATTTGCTTGTTCTGGCACCTCTGTTTTTAACTTCTGCAGGTTAAATGGCCTCACAACTTCCTTAACATTCCTGAAACTTACAGAAGTGGGACTATTTATATGTAAAAAGACTGCCGAGGGGGCAGCAGCCCTCAAAAGTCAAGATGGGAGTAGCTTCTGGGGGGCAGGCTGCCTGCCAGAGTGGGAGAAATGACCACGCGGGGTTTTTCCTGCACCCCGGGGTGCTTTAGCGGGTCACTCAGAACTGGGCCGCTTGCTTGAGGCTGCAGCAGCCACACCTGGGGGTGGTGAGGTGTGCACACAGCGCTGGTGACCCTGAAGACCCGCACACGGGAAGGCCAGAGCTCAGCGCAGCTGTCTGAAGAACCTTGGGCAGCTCTGGCAGCGCCTGCCTGTCCCTGAAGGCGCAGTGGCAGTGCTGTGGCCCTGTGCCACAGGTCCTGGGGGCTGGCCGGAGGTGGTGAGCTCTGTGGTCCCTCCCTGACCTGAGTGTGGGGCCTGCAGCAGGGGTCCGCTTGCGTGACCCGTACAGGACTGGACAGGCTGACCCTCACGCAGCCAACGAGGGGCCTTGTGTTAGCCGGGGATGGCTGAAATCTAAGCGCCTGAATTTGTTTTCTGATGTTTATTTTCATTACAGGATGTGAAGTTACCCCAGATGTAAACATTTCAGGCCAAAAATTTAACATTAAACTCCTGATTCCCGTAGCAGAAGGCATGAATGAAATCTGGCTTCGCTGTGACAATGTAAGTTTCCCAACTAAAATCAGTCTTGATGTTCTCTGCTGGAAAGAGCCCCGCGTGGTGCACACAGCAGACGTGCAGCGCGGGCTCTCCTCCTGTAGGAAAAGCAGTACGCACACTGGATGGCGGCGTGCAGGCTGGCCTCCAAGGGCAAGACCATGGCCGACAGCTCCTACAACCTGGAAGTGCAGAATATCCTCTCCTTCCTGAAGATGCAGCATTTAAACCCCGACCCTCAGCTGATCCCAGAGCAGATCACGACGGACATCAACCCCGAGTGCCTCGTGTCCCCTCGCTACCTGAAGAAGTACAAGAACAAGCAGGTAACCTGTCAGTGTCACGTGATGGCATGATGGTGACCTGATTAGGACAGATAATGAGTGGAGTCTATTTTCAAATGTTTATCACTCTAAAAGGACAGATAAGCGTGCTTATGGTACAACATAAGGAAATTAACTCCTTTACCCACCCTGTTCAGAATTGCTTTCCTGGAAATTAACGCCCTGGAAGGACTGCTGCTCAGGAAAGTGGTTTGGTAGCACAGCGGACCAGTTCCTCACAGAAGGTTCTCAGGGCAGGCTGGCATGCCGTCGGCCCAGCTGCATGCCAGAAAAACAGCCTTCGGCTCGGGGTGGGGCGGGTGCAAGGATGACCTTCAAATGCTTGTTTTTCCTCTAGTTATGTTTTTAATTGGGGAATCCATTAGTCATTCAAACATTACTCCGGAATACTAATTTTGAAATGAGTGTTTACCTGTTGGTCTGAGGTTACGCAGCTAGATGTCCTGGGACATTCTGCCCGCGGGGCTGTCACCGCAGCCTGGGTCCCTGCGGAGACGCTCGGGCCGCGGAGGGCAGGAAGGAATGGAGGAAGTGCTGCCCAGGACGTGTGGAATGTGGACTCCAAGTTAAAAAGGGAAAGTGAAGCAAACACTGTTTCCTTTGCACTATTTCATTTAGCAAGTACTTATAAAGAAACTTGTTTTTCAAGTGAATTCATTGGCCTTCAAAGGCAGGGAATAATTTCATATCCTAATGACAAAGCATTTCACTGTGAGAGGTCAGGAAAGAAGGAGGTCAGAGTGGAGTTGGGAGGCCTGCCAGGTGCTGGTTTTGTTGCCAGTAATCTGTATTGCACATTAGTCGTCCCAGCCCTGAGTTCAGTGCATTGTCCACTGGAAATTCCCTTCAAGTTAAGCAGGTGGTTTCACTGGCCTATGGCTGGCTGGCGGGCAGGCGGTACGTGTGTGGTCCATGGTTAAGGGGCCTTATGCAGGTTGGCATCTTACCAACTGCACATTCTTCTTCAATTTTGGGCTTACCAACTGTTCCCAGAAGGCTGGACTGTGTGACTGCACTGGCCCGAGCCAGGGCTGCGCTGCGGGCACAGGAGCCCGCTTTCCCTCTTGGAGAAAGTCACCAAGGTGGCTCTGGCACACCAATGTGTTCATGAATTTGCCATGTTGTTGTTAAATTAATAGGAGTCTGATTATTTGACTTGAAAAGGGTCGTTTATTGGCATTAATCCTGACAACTAGACTACCACGTTTGCAGCCACTGCTCCTGTGTAGTATACGGCATCTCTGTATTTTCCTTTCCAGGAAAAAGGATGCAAAAAGCAGATGGTAACGGAGGGCTTTGTGTTGGTGTGAACAGAGGGCACTGCGCTGACGTATGCCTGTGACTTGTTTCTCGGAGGCAGTGCATGGATCATGGTTTCGGACTAAATCTGAAAAGATTTTCAAGTCTTTTGAAAATTTTTATTTGCTACTACAATAATTAGCTTTATCCTAACCAGTAAGAACTTGGTACCCTGGGGGAGGAAGAAAGCATTTGCTTTTCGTATTTTTCTCCCTATCAATTTCTGCCATTAATTTTAGTAACACTTAACATTCTGAAAACCATGGAGTGTCCTTCAGGATTCTACAGGGAAAGTACTAGCTGCTTCCTCCTTTTCATTCTTGCATTTACTTTGCTTGGTTTCCATCTAAAAGTAATTTTTTGCATGATGTTTGGCTGAAATTTTGATTTGCAGGTTACCGCAACTTTTTCTTTGCTTCATTGCCATTTTTTTCTGATTGCCTTTTTTTTTTCTTTCCGCTTCCTTTTTCTTTCCTCGCATTGCCATCTACAGCCAGGCTATGTAAGACACTTGGTAAGTTTTCTATATTTGCCAAAAGAGAAAGAAAGGAAGAAAAAATGTTAAAAATCACAGCATCTACATAAAGTAAATAATTGATCACTTTTGAAGTCTGCAGAGTATTGTGCTTTTACATACATTCCAGCTGTAACAGCCGTAGACGCTGACTGACTGTGCTGTTGCTTAGTTTAAGCTCCTGCGTAGGCACTTTAGAACACCTAGCCCTGGGGTACACTCCAGTGGGGCAGTTCTGTGTGACTAACAGTGCTGTAGTTTCTGACATTTTGTATTCCTTTAGTAAAATGTCCAAGCACAGCTTAAGAAATCTGACACATACTACCAAGAGGCTACCTGAGTGTGAAAAAATAGAAATCTGTGTGTAACTTGCACAGAACACACGGTGTGTATACTTTGTGAAGACCTCTCTCAGCTGTGGTCAAGATACAATCCTAATTCCATTTCTTACCAATCATGATTTCTGTTCATAGTAAATAGTTTAGTTTATCAGTGTTTTCATAATCAAATTCTTTTGTGGTAAAATCAAGATTAAAACCATTATTTAATTACCCTTCAGATAACAGCAAGAATCTTGGAGGCCCACCAGAACGTGGCTCAGATGAGTCTCATTGAAGCCAAGATGAGATTCATCCAGGCCTGGCAGTCACTGCCTGAGTTTGGCATCACACATTTCATTGCAAGGTCAGTGGGCACATGTTTACTGTCACTTAAAAGTATGTGTTTTATAGTATTCAAGTTCATGAATTTTAGGCTAGTCCAAACAGGCTTATAACTCAAACATGCCATAGGTTAACAACTGAGGTGCAGAACAGTTTTAGGAGGGGTGTGCAGAGAAATCTTCAATACCTTAGTGAGGAGTAACTAATCTTTGAGTCCTACCAAGTAAGGTATGTGGGAGTCCAAGCTGATTGTTTCCTGTCTGTTCTAAGCTTTCCTTATTGGTCTCTATCTGATCTAATTTTTTTGGGGGGGGGGGTGCTCTGGAGTGACCCTAATGGTCATTGCAAGAGAGGATGGGGAGCTAAAGTTGGAACTAAGTAAGGACCAGAGAAAGCAGAATAGTATCCTATAACTATGTTAAGATGTATAGCAGCCGGTTGTGTATAAACTAAAAGTCAAGTAGTCACAGGATGTGGTTAAGAACTTGCATTTTCTAACATATTGGTCACCCAGTACCTTGTCAGTTAACTCCATGATGTAAATTGTTGAAGTTGTGTAGTGGCTTTTCATTGGAGGGGATGATATTCCGCCAGCTCTACTTTCAGACCAGGGATGGTCTCCCAATGAAACTGTTGAATTTATCTGGACAATAAGATGCCGGACTCTCTGCAGGGTCCATGCCCGCAATGAAGGGATCAGGACTGGATATGAACTGTACCACTGTAACAATATGGAGGAATTAATAGGGGGAATCCCAGAGCCTATGAAATAAAAAAAATTAAGGGAAACAGGAAAGCATGATCAAATACAAAATATCAATAATATGAAAGTGGGGAAAAAACTATCTAGAAACCACACCCCATGTTTTTAAGCGTTTGTTATAATCCATCCTCCAGGTTCCAAGGGGGCAAAAAGGAAGAACTTATTGGCATTGCGTACAACAGACTCATTAGGATGGATGCCAGCACAGGGGACGCCATTAAAACATGGCGGTTCAGCAACATGAAACAGTGGAATGTAAACTGGGAAATCAAAATGGTAAGGTCTCTGCTTAGTTTCCTCTTAACTACTGGGGTTTCTCAATTTCTAAGAACATCGTGACTTGCTTGGCATATTTACCTTGGTGTGCGTCCCTCCTGTGACGGATGAATAGCTTCCACTTAGATAGTAGTGACCAGTGTCAGATGTCCCCTGCGTGCTTGCCACGTTCGTGGATGTTTCCATGTGCCGTGCTCCTCTTAAGGTGCGTGGATCACAGCGAAACGTCCAGTCCATGCCCCGGCACGGCTGAGGTCCAGTCTGCTCAGACTCACGGCCCAGCCCTGTGATGCCTGGCGCATCTTACCAATATAAAGCCTGTTGCCTGTAGGCTGTGTAAGTCATGTGGTTTAGCCCTGTCATTTACTGGAATCCTGATTCTAACAGTGAGGCATCTGACATGATACGGAACAGTTAAAGCCCATACACAGCAGTAGACTGCGTCCCAGGAGACATTTCAGTCATTCACTCACCAGAGCCCACGTGGGGAAACTCCATGCGTTCTGAAAAGGAAGACTAGGACTTGGACAAGGGCTTGAAGGCCTGCTTGCTGCAGTGTGTGGCGAGCGCGGTGCCGTGCGCACCCGGCCGTGCGCAGCGTCCAGGGCCTCGGGCCTCACTTTGTCCTCGTTCCAGGTCACCGTCGAGTTCGCAGATGAAGTGCGATTGTCCTTCATTTGCACCGAGGTCGACTGTAAAGTTGTTCACGAATTCATCGGTGGCTACATCTTCCTGTCAACACGTGCGAAAGACCAAAATGAGAGTTTAGATGAAGAAATGTTCTACAAACTCACCAGCGGTTGGGTGTGAAAGAAGTGTGATCAAACACTGCAGCCATTACAATATTTAACGTTAAAAAGCTGTTGTCTGTTATATGCTGCTTAATAAAGTAAGCTTGAAATTTATCATTTTATCATGAACTTTTTGCCTTACTAGACTGGTTCATATGTGCACTAACAAGCACGACTATTAATCTGTTACGTTGATACCGCATGTGGACTGAGGCGTGTGGCATGCGTCCCCAGGGGCCACACGGGAAACTGAATTAGTGGGCAAGTCAGGAACAAATGGTCACTGATTTACACTAGCTGAACTAAGATAAAGCCATTACTTTAAAGTTCTCCAGGGCATAACCTATATGAAGTCTATTTATCATGTTTAATGCATGTGTTTTAATGTATGTTTAATTTGATGTCATGTTTTAATATATCCTACTTCCTGATAGCCATGGACCCCTCACCCCACCCCCTAAAGTAGAAATCAAGCCGGCAAAAGATGCCTGATACTTTATAGTATCATTGTTTGACCTTGAAGGAAAATGCTGTTTTGTCTTTTATGCTTGGTTTGTTTCGTCCTTGAGTAAGCATGTGTGTATATTGTCTTGTTTTTATTTTACACCATACTGTATTATGACACTTTTAGTATTCACCAGCATATCACTGTCTGCATAAAATATGCAACTTTTGCATTATAATATGAAGGTCTATGAAGTATGCATTTTTTGTGTAACTAATGTACAAACACAAATTTTATAAAATTGTACAGTTTTTTTAAAACTACTCAAAATTAGCAAGTGGCTTAAACGTAGCATCTTTGCATTAATTAAATGCCTTTCAAAGATATGGTTAATATGCAGTTTTAGTATCTGCTAAGTTAAGAATGACTTCATGATGGTCATGATTTGCCACAGTGTCCTTAACTCTACGCCTGGCCTGGCTCTGCTCTGGTCTGCTGCGCTGTTACAACCTGCATTGGTGCTAGTCAGGAAACTGAGCTCACACAGCCCAGGGGGGCCGGGAGGGGAGGAGTACCAGTATTGTCCAATAATCCATGGTTGAAAGACTGTATAAATGCATTTTATTTTAAATAAAAGCAAAATTGTTTATTTAAAACTCCGTTTGTACTTCTTTTTACAAACCAGGTGTGAGCGCAGCAGAGCCGCCTCACCTCCGGGCGCGTTAGCATCGGGAGGCCCTGGTTCCCGGGTCACTCACCCTTGAGACTCACCCTTCAGCCTGAAACTCAGAACCAGGCTGACTGGCATTGACTTTGCTTACCAGACCCTCGTCTTCCTGTTGTCACTGCTGTCTGCATCACCCACATGCAGCTTTAAAAGCAAGGCTCTGACTACAATCTCTTTTGCTTTTCTTTATACTCAACAAGCCACATACAGCAAGCCTGGCTCAAGAAGGGGTGTCTTCCCATCAGTCACCTGCTAGAAGCCTGCATTACACTTGCAGCTCTGGAATCCCCGGTGTATGGCTTCTGGCACGCCACCCAGCAGAGCTCTGGCTGCATCTCAACTGTGGTGCCCCTTCATTGCCTGCGCAAGAAGCTGCCCAACCCTGGGCAGCTCACATTGCCAACTGGCTGCCCCCCTGCCTCCCTGCCCTCAGTCACTCCCACGTGTTTCGGAGACTTGGAAGAGCTCTATTATTCTCTATTAAACTTACGTTTCCAGGCAGCCCAAAATGCTGCCTCATCTGAAGCCACCAAGTTGGGGCGCTCTAGGGCACTCTATCTTACTGCCCTCAGTAAACAGTACAGCCCTCAGTGCCCACTGCAGCACACACAGACCTGTCAACCAGCCGAGGATCAAAAAATCCTTACGTACTTGCAAACACAGGCTTCTTCTGTGCTGGACAGGTACAGACTTCTTACTCCCCACGCAGTAACCACGTACACATCCTTGCCATGAACTAGTTAGGTATCCTAAGTAACAGGTGACAAAGTATGTGAGGGGACAGGTGCAGGTGACAGGACAGCACAACACTTTCATCCCAGGTACCCGGGACCCTCAGCAGCTCTGGAGCCAATCCCTGCCTTGAGTATTACAGTTGGGAAGTTGTGGAATTCTTTGAATGTCCTACCTTTACAGCCTCAGTTTAACACCGAGTGGGCGAGCTGCAGACCGGCGCACATTAGGACGCAAGCCAAGAGTGAATGATGTCAACTCAGTGTCTCCGACTGGCTCGGGACAGACACTGCCAGGTGCCCGAGCCTTGGCCACACAAGGTGCCCAGAGGCTCACGCCTGAGCATGAGGGAATGAGGTGGACAGGTGCCGCTGAAGGGCTCCCAGCAGTGGGTGGGGACACGGGCCCGTCCCCTTTGGACTTGTGCTCTGTAGCCCACAACATACTAAAAATGGCAGCGTTGGTCATAATGGGTTATTCCGGGCAGGTTTTGGGAAAATCCCAAAGAGTCAGCAGGCTCTTCTGTGGTTAGGGTTTAGACACTCCCTGCTCCCCGCTGCTTGGAATGAGGCAGCACAGCCCAGGAGACAGGGATGTGGGTCAGGCAGGGGGGACGTGCCGAGGCGTGCTTTCTGCTTTGGTGCTCTTACTGAGTCTTAAATCCAGCTTCCCCATGTTACGATGGGGCCCAATAGGCCAAGTGATGGGTGCACCTGCCCTGCTGCAGTCCGCACCAGGGCAGAGCTCCAGGCAGGACTCAGGTTTCCAACTCCCTACATAGTCATGTTACAGCCAGGCCTGCATGGAGCCCCGGGGCCCTACTGCGGGGGCTTTATGGAGCACACACAGGCCTGCATGGAGCCCCGGGGAGCTCTGGCCACGGTGGGTGCTCTTGGCGACACTGCCCCAAATCCCTTCTCACTGCTTCTCTTGGGTCAGCAGGTTTGAGACCTGCTGGAAGAGTCTGGTGTAGTTAATGAGTAATCTTAACTAGGTACAAATAGTTTCTGCACAACCTTGAACTTCAAAGTAAAGGAGCTGGAACCGTGAACTTTGCAGAAGAAAAGCCAGTCACAGTTCTCAAATCTCCAACCCTCTTAGCCCCAACCAAACATGTATTCTATTCTCTGCACCACAGTTCCTACTCTTTCATATGAAATAGCCTTACGGGGACACTTGTAATTATTAATTATTGATGTAGGATTAAGTCAAACCAAGTTCTTGGTCACTAATTTTTCTAAAAAACACACCGCATAGTGAAATGCTGAAGTCCACGTTGTAGCTGCGATGCGCCTGACTTGGCCCAGCGGGAGGCCTGGCCGGCCCTTCCGTCTGCCCTGGTCGCTGCATCACATCTCAGTCCCACACTGTCGCCCTTCTCTCCACCCAAACTTCTACCTGAAGTTGGAGAAGCAGTGGGCCTGTTTTGAGACTAGAAGTGTGACAATTCCAACATGGCAAAGGAAACATCAGAGTGAAGAGGCAGCCCACAGAACAGGAGGGAGAAGTACAAATCAGCCAGCTACACCTGACAAGGGTTATAATCAGATTGTGTGAGCAACTCGACAGCCAAAATACTCCAACACTGTGACTTTAAAACGAGTACAGCCAAGTGGGTGAAGATGCCCACGTCCCACGCAGCCTGGGTTCAGCCCCCAGCTCCAATTCCAGCTTGAGCAGACCCTGGGAGCAGCCAGGCTCTTGGGAGACGTGCACTTGGGAGTTGCTTGCCCCAGCCCCAGCCCGTGTGGGCATGTAGGCAGGGAGCCAGCGAGCAGACTGGCGCTCTCTGTCTCTGTTTCATGTTGTACAGCAATCACTTCAGACAGTGCTCCGATAGCACGCGATGGCCAGCGGCCGCACGAGAAACCCGGGGGACACAGCCAGAACCGCACTGGAGCGTCCCCTCATTCCAGGTAGACTGTTAGCCAAATCAGCGGCCAGATGCCAGGCAAGCAGGTGCAGAAGGCGCCCTTGCACATGCTGGGAGGAGGGTCAATTGGGACACCCAGACTGGGAAACAGTATGGAGATTTCTCAGGAAACTGAAAATAGCACTACCCTGTGACCTGGCAGTCCCGGTCGTGGGGAGGAGCCAAGGCAAAGGAAACAGCTCTGTGTCAGAAACATCTGGACTTCCACATCTGTTGCCACACCATTCACAGCAGACAGAGGATGGAGGCAACCTATGTGTCCATCACAGGGTGAATGAGCAAAGACCACGTGGTGGGTGTACAGAAGATGTAAAGAGGTGAAGTGTTGGACCAGTGCTGTGGCGCTGCTCGTGGCCGCCACTCAGTGCTGGCGCTCCGCGTAGCTCTGCGCCACAGTCCAGTCTCGGCTTTCCATCTGGCTCCTCGCTGACACACCCGGGACAGCAGCAGAGGCCGGCCCGAGGCCCTGAGCCGCCGCGTGGGCCTGGCAGCCCTGGCCGTTGCAGTCATTTGAGGAGGGAGTGAGAACAGGAGAGATTCTCCTCTAACTCTTTCAAATAAAGAAAAACATTTTAAAGAATGGTAATTTTTTGGAAAGAGTTATTTTTACTGGAAAGTGAGATTTTACAGAGTGAAGGCCAGACAGAAACACCTTCATCTGCTGGTTCACTCCCCAAGTAGCCGCAATGGCCAGAGCTGAGCCAATTCGAAGCCAGGAACCTGGAGCTTCCTCTGGGTCCTTTATGCAGGTGCAGGATCCCAAGGCTTGGGCCTGTCCTCTCCTGCCTTTACAAGCTACAAGCAGGGAGCTGGATGGGAAGAGCAGTAGCCATGATTATAACCAGCATCCATATGGGATTCCGGGCATGCAAGGTGAGGACTTCAGCCACTAGGCTACCACACCAGTCTCCGAATAAAGAAATCTTCAAATAAGCAAATAGGGAGAAACGATTTTGAATTTCACCCTAAAAAAAACCAAAAAGATAAATGGTGGGGAGGGGCGTGCGGTGGCACTGTGACTTAACGGGCTAATGGTTCCAGCTGTGGCACCAGCATCCCATATGGGCGATGGTTCAGGTATCAGCCACTCTATTTCCAGTCCATTGTCTGCTTATGGAATGGGAAGCAGCGAGGCTAGTCTAGGTTCGTGGGCTCCTGTACTCTCACAGGAGACCCAGAAGAAGCTCCTGGCTCCAGCTTTGGGTCAGCTCAGCCAACTTTCTGGTAACCATTTGCATAGTGAACCAGTGAAGACCCCTCTGTCTCCTTCTCTGCATATCTGCCTTTCAAATAAAAATAACTTTTTTTCCTTAAGATTTATTTTTATTGCAAAGTCAGATACACAGAGAAGAGGAGAGACAGAGAGGAAGATCTTATGTCTGATGATTCACTTCCCAAGTGACTGCAAAGGCTGGTGCTGTGCTGACCCGAAGCCAGGGCCAGGAACCTCCCCCAGGTCTCCCACGTGGGTGCAGAGTCCCAAGGCCCCGGGCTGTCCTCGACTGCTTCCCCAGGCCACAAGCAGGGAGCCAGATGGGAAGTGGAGCTGCCGGAATTAGAACCACTGCCGATATGGGATCTCGGCGTGGTCAAGCAGAGGACTTAAGCTGCTAGGCCACGCCACCAGGCCCAAAAATAACTTTTAAAAAGAAAAACAAAACAAAAAAACGATAATTGGGGGCCAACACAATGGCTCAGTTGACTAATCCTTTGCCTGTTAGCACCAGCATCCCATATGGGGATGGTTTGTGTGCCAGCAGTTCCACTTCCCATCTAGCTCTCTGCTTGTGGCCTGGGAAAGCAGTCAAGGACGGCCCAAAGCCTTGGGATCCTGCACCTGCGTGGGAGATCTGGAAGAAGCGCTGGCTCCTAGCTCCGGATCAGCTCAGCTCCGGCTATTGTAGCCATTTGAAAAGTGAACCAGCAGATGGAAGATTTTTCTGTCTTCTCTCCCTGTGAATTTGTCTTTCCAATTAAAAAAAAAAATGTAGGGCCCGGCGCGATGGCGCAGTGATTAAGGTCCTCGCCTTGCACGCCCGGGATCCCATATGGGCGCTGGTTCTAATCCCGGCAGCCCCGCTTCCCATCCAGCTCCCTGCCTGCAGCCCGGGAAAGCAGTCCAAAGCTTTGGGACCCTGCACCTGTGTGGGAGACCCGGAAGAGGCTCTTGGCTTCGGAACGGCATAGCATCGGCGGTTGTGCTCACCTGGGGAGTGAATCATCGGACAGAAGATCTTCCTCTCCGTCTCTCCTCTC